TGACAAGAGAAGGTCTCACTAAGGCAAGTCTTTAGCACAAACCTGAAGGAGGTAGCACAGTGAGGGTCCCTGGAGAAAGAATTTTCCAGGCAGAAGGAACAGCCAAAGCCCTGGGATAAGAGAATGCCCAGCATGTGCAGGTGGAGCGAGGAGGCCAGAGTAGCTAAGTGGAATGGGTGAGGGGAGAGGGCGGAAAGGAAGGTCAGAGAGTCCCCCCAGGGCTGCAGGCTGTGAANAGAGAAGGTCTCACTAAGGCAAGCCTTTAGCACAAACCTGAAGGAGGTAGCAAAGTGAGGGTCCCTGGAGAAAGAATTTTCCAGGCAGAAGGAACAGCAAAAGCCCTGGGATAAGAGCACGCCCGGCATGTGGAGGTGGAGGGAGGAGGCCAGAGTAGCTAAGGGGAGTGGGTGAGGGGAGCGGGCAGAAAGGAAGGTCAGAGAGTCCCCCAGGGCTGCAGGTTGTGGNAGGAAGGTCAGAGAGTCCCCCCAGGGCTGCAGGCTGTGAAGCTCTCTACAGACTAAGGCAAAGGCTGAGCTTTCCCTTCAGTGAGATGGGAAGCCCCTGGAGCATGCTGAACAGAGGAAAGACGGGCTCTGTTTTTTTAGAAGGCTCAATCCTGCAGCCAGATTAGGAATAGAAAAGCACAGAAACAATGGGAGCATTTTAGGAGTTATTACAATAATATCAGTGAGAGGTAATGAAAGTGTGGATCAAGGTAGTAGCCATGGAGGTGCTGAGAAGTGTTTAAATTCTGGATATATTTTAAAGATAAAACCAAACCAAACAAACAAACAAAAAGAGCCAATGGTTTAGATACGAATTATGAAAAAAATCAAGCATAAAAATAAATGTTGTGCCTAAGCAGCTGGAGAGATGGTGATACTGGTTGCTGAGCTAGAAAAGGAGAAGTAGGTTTGGTGAGAAAAAAAAATGAAGAGTTTAATTTGAGACATATTAAGTGGAAGGGCCCACTGGGCACCCAACTGGGGATACCAAGCAGGTAGGACGGATATGAGTGTGGCTTTCAAGGGAGACGTCTGAGATAGAAATATAAATTTGGGAGCCATCAGCGTATAGAGAACATTAAAACTGTGACCCTAGATAAAAGCATCAGGAAAGAACGTATGGAGAGAGATGAGATAACCCAAGAGCTGCTAATGCCAATCTGTATGCGTGTTCTCTGTCAAGGAGGCCATAGGAGGGAATGTGTTGAGCTGGAAGAGATTTCCAAGATGGTTCAGTCCAAGAGCCTTATTTTGCAGTTAGGTCATCTAAGCTCCAGGGCCACCCAGCTAATGCTGCTGACCTTGAGACAAGAACCCAGAACGTCTGATTCCAAGNTTTGCAGTTAGGTCATCTAAGCTCCAGGGCCACCCAGCTAATGCTGCTGACCTTGAGACAAGAACCCAGAACTTCTGATTCCAAGTATATTATGTTATGTAGGTTCGGTTGCCTAGAGTGATGGATTCTAGAAGTGCCAGGAGAGAGGAGAGGTGATAGGGAGGGAAAACAGGTCACCAGCCTATTCACCCCCAGGAAGCCACCGCCGCCCTCGGTGACCGTGAAGAAGGCNCCGTGAACAAGGAGATGAGCCACAACACCAGGACTCTCATCTTCAGCTGGTCCCTCTCCTTCCCCTGGACTGAGCATGAACAGCTGGGCTCGCAGCCTGCAGCTAGACGGGATGTACCACACGAGGCTGAGGCACAAAAACAAGTAATTCAAACTCAAAATTTTTAAACGCACACAATGGTAGCACCTAACTGAGCCAATCGGAAGCCATAAGTATTTAATTATTTCTCCATTTCATGTATCCAGCCCGAGACACCGTGACTCCCGTTGAAAAGTAGTAAATTTGTGTCTTTGCAAACTTCCTAGAACATTCCTCGAGAGCTCTCTTGTAGGTGGTCAAATTTGATTAAACACGGGTTATTTTTTGTTTTTCTGGGTCAACTTTTATTTTTTTCAAAAAAATAATTTTGTTGTTTTTTTGAAAGGTAGTACATACTTACTGTAAAAAAGAAAAATAGAAAATAGGGATAAACCAAAATAAGAATAAAACTCAGTTCATAATTCTAAAACCCATAAAAATTACTATTTATGTGTGTTGCATATTTACAAATCTGAGATTTCTATAAATATTATTTATAATAATTTTTGTTTTATTTTTTGATTACAGTTTGCATTCAACACTTTTTTGTATTAGCAGATAGACATTCATGTAGGTTACACTATTTTAAAATCATGACTTACTTAACTTCGCAACTAGGAGTAGTTAACATCAGCCTTTTATATTTCACTGAGGTTTTACTTTTCATCTCAGGGGGGAAAAAAGAGCATTAAAATAACCAAGGACTCTTGGAACCATTGATATAAGGATAGAACCTGAGTGTTTAAGCATAAAAATAATCATGAATGAATCCAGCAAATTCCCTTCTTTATATTAATGTAGTAATTTGCAACAAACTGTCCTCTCATGCCCCACCGCCCTGCTTGCCAAGACTCCTCCTGAGTCTATTGCTCTAACTTTCTTTGGGCAGCAACCTGTGCTCCAGACCTCATTCCCCTAGATCTGCCTCCCAAACTCACCTGCTCTGTGTCCTGTTCCCTCTGGCTGTGTGCTCTGCTCTACAAAAGTGGTGCCTATCTGTCTCTAAAACAGCATTTTTCCAAAATATTTGACCAGACCCCATAGAAAGAAATACGTATTTACACACACGCACATAATAAACCATGTTTATATATGTATATGCATATATACACATAATAGAATGTATGTGTGTATATACATAAAATAACTGAACAGTTTTCTGATATAGAACTTAAATCTTTCCCTGAGACATGCCCTTGTATATTTTCTATTTGTTTTTATTTTATTTTCTCTCCCTTTTTTTTGGGGGGGGGGTCTAAATTGATTTCCCAATACCTTCTTGGAGGGCAGCCACATTGCGGAGGGAGCTGTGCTCTTCCCAGCCTTTTTCCCACATTTCCTTCCCTTCCAGGGAAAATGTTTCATGGGAATTCCTGGGTATTGCCTGGGCCGTGGTCTTAGCGCTGGAGCTTTCAAAGAGGGTAACGTACGTGTGACCGGTCCCCACTCTGTGCCAGGCTGGCTTCCTAGTGGGAGGCCTGGCCCTCGTATGGCTCTTTCTCTCCATCTCTTGCTCTCTGAAAAATCTTCTTTCTCCCCCTGCGGTCCAGGCCTGAGGCTGCCAGCCCAGCTCTGGAAGGCCTGGTGACTGTCCTGGGCGCGGTGAGGAAACTCTCATGCTCTGGGCCTTCGTCCCCCTCCCACACTGGAGGCTGTATCCTGGGCTGTCTTCCGACCAGGGGGAAATGGTAAACTTAACCTTGCAATCAGGGTTTCGGACCGGAGACTCCCAGGCTCTGCTCTGTAGGCCTGTCTTGAATAGCTGAACTATTTCATGATATACACATGTTCCACCGTGTGTGTGTGTGTGTGTGTGTGTGTGTGTGTGTGTGTGTGTGTGACTATATATTTCTTTCTATGGCGCCTGGTAAAAACTATTTTTAAAATACTGCTCTAGAGACAAATATCCATCATTTTTGGAAAACAGAAAGCATAGACTAGGAGGAGGGGGCAGGGGCAGGAAAAGGGGGAGGAGGGAGAGGAGGGGGAGGAAGAGAAGGCATTTAGGAGCTCATTAGGAAATACAGGTGTCCCCATGGCACCCTAAGCCTACTAAACCATAGACAGCCCAGCCTATGCGTCATTAGGTTGCCCAAGAGATGCTGACTTCCAGGTAGCTTTGAGAGTTGGTTCCAGATCACTTCTTAGATAGGAAAAAAAGAGTTCTATATTTAAATTAATCTTGTGATTTGAGTTCTCTTTGGGGGTTTGGGACCCAAGCTTAAACTAATTAAAACTTTTTCTTCAAGCCCTTGATGCATACAGCTACCTCTGGGATAGGGTTTGAAGGCTGATTTTCAGATATAGAAAACATAAATTTTTAGTGTTATCCTAGTCATCACCCAGAATTATTTATTGTTTTTCTGAAATTTATATAAAGTACTCAGAACAGCACCTGGCAGGTAGTGAGCCTTAATTATTACCATTATTATTTTTGTTAATCCTCCCTGGAGGATATTTTTTCTGTTGATTCTTAGAGAGAATGGAAGGGAGACAGGGAGGAGAGAGAGGGAAAGAGAGAGAAACATTGATGTGAGGTGACAGAGACACATGGATCGGCTGCCTCCTGCATATGCCCTGACCAGGGCTGGGATGGAACCTCAACCCAGGTACGTGCCTTTGACCAGTAATTGAATCCGAGACTTTTTGGTGCACAGGCCAATGCTCTAACCACCAAGGAGCACCAGCAAGGACATAATTATTGTTAGCTATTAATAGTAGCATTACTAGCGTTTTAATCTCACCACTAGTTTTTTAAAATATGTTTTTATGGATTTTTTAGAGAAAGAGGAAGGGAGAGGGAGAGAGAAACATTGACCAGCTGCCTCCTGCGTGCCTCCTACTGGAGATCAAGCCTGAAACCTGGGCATATGCCCGGACCAGGAACCCAATCAGCAACCTTCTGGTGCATGGGATGGATGTTCAACCAACTGAGCCACACCAGCCGGGCTCACCAGTTTTTATAGTTACATGTTGGATTGTATCAGAATTTGGCTTCTGTTCTGAGTCAAATGAACTTATCAAGTAAAAGCTGCTTCTGGGTTGATGTAAACCCTGTGGTATACTCAGCACTTCCCTTTCAAGCTGGAAGGGTCTTAATTATTAAAGCAACTCTCAGAATCCATATGTCCTTGCCACAGGTGAGGAGCTGTTGTCATCAGAGTGAGTGTGTTTACATCACACCTCACCATGAGGCAGACCCCGCCAGTGGTGCCTGATCTACAGCTGTGTTGGCGCTGGCTTCCTGGGAAGGCTTGGCCATGGGGGGACCCCACCCCTGGCCCACTTCCTTGAATTCATTGAAGTAAATTCACTCCTGATAATCCCTGTCCTTCAGTTTACAGAGAACAATCATTAGAATTTACTATTAAGCCCCTGGAGACAGCTGACCATTGTCTCCCCATTCTTCCAGTTACATATTTATGGGCTCCAAATATCACTTATTTATGTCAACAGCAGTCTCCTTATCAACAGTTGTGCTTGGTTGGAACTGCTCACACCTACACTTTCCAGAATTTTTAGCAACAATCTAATCTTAGGTACAGTTGAACTCTTGGGTTGCTTTCCTGGCATCAGTATTTATGGGATTATGTTTCTTTCTCTATAAATAGAAGAATTTCCAGTAGAGTTGTCTATCTCCTCTCTGACTTGGACTCACATGTGCACATGTGCCACACACACACACACACACACACACACACACAGACTAATGGAAAGAGTAGGTCTTCAGTTGGGCTCTGAAAGAGATCATGACTCAAATAGAGTTGACCATTTTCAAGGCAGAGGTCCTGTAAAACCTTGGTTTTATTTTACCTCTTATTTTATGTTTTTATTAACATTTGCATTGGGATCTGTCTTTGCATAGAAATCCTTGGGCCATTTGCCTTTGAGAAGAGTTTCTCTGTGCTTTTTTTAAGTAGGCAGACACAGTAGAGAAGACAGGTGGAAATATAGGTGGGAGACAGAAAAGATAACCAATTTCATATCTGAAAAAATTTTTGGAAGTTTGGTAAATTTTATGAGCTAGACAAACTTCTTATGGAAGGATTATAACTTAAAGTTATTTAAAATTTCAGTGAGTGTCTGTATAAACATTTGTGCACAGTAAAATTTTAAATACATATTTTATGTTTTAGCATGTTTTTACTATGTTTATATAGTATAAACATAGCAGAAAGAGACCAAGATGAATTAAACCCTAACCCTGAATCTGTTCCTTATTTGTTAGAAAACTCACTGGACTCAGTTTCCTCCTCTATAAAATAAGGTGAGCTCACCTTCATTCACACTCAGATTCTATTATTATGTGCTCATTTCTCAGTTTCTCTTTCTATATTATTTATTTAATTGCTCTTTTTATTAGTGTCTATTAGTCATCAAATCTAAGCCTGGAAAGATTAAAAATTTTACTGGGCTTTGCTCCTGTTTTCTCCTCAAATGGGTAATTACAATTCTTTTATTTTCTGGTGTGCTTTTTAAATTTTTTATTGAATTTATTGGGGTAACATTAGCTAATAAAATTATATAGGTTTCAGGTGTACAGTTCTACAACATATCATCTGTATATCATAGTGTGTGTTCACCACCCCGTCAAGTCTCATCCNTCTACAACGTATCATCTGTATATCATAGTGTGTGTTCACCACCCCATCAAGTCTCATCCCATCACCATGTATCCCCCCAGTACCCTCTTCTACTTTCCCCCACACCCCCTCCCCTCTGGTAATCATCACACTGTTGTCTGTGTCTATGAATTGTTTTTTGTTTTTGTTTTTATTTTGCTTAATCCCTTCACCTTTTTCACCCAAGCCCACAACCACCCTCCCCTCTGACAACTGTCAGTTTGTTCTCTGTATCTATGATTCTGTGGTTATTATCATTCTTGAACCTCTTTTGAGATAGGCTGAGAACCTCCTGAAAATTAAGCCCTTGGATTGAGAACAGAGGTGTGATTTTTAAGAA